GGGGGGTCGGGCTCTTCTCCCGGGCACCCAGTGACAGGACGAGAGGGCCCAGCCTGAAACTGCCTCAGGGGAGGTTGGGGTTGGGTCTCAGGCAGCCCTTCCTCCCGCAGAGGGTGCTCAGGCCCTGGGATGCTCTGCCCAGGGCAGGGGGGAGTCACCTGGAGTCCCTGGGGGGGTTTAAGGAGAGGCTGGATGTGGCACTTGGTGCCCTGGTCTGGCCCATGGGGGGGTGTTGGGGCATGGGCTGGGCTGGGTGATCTCGGAGGGCTTTGCCAGCCTTAGCCATTCTGGGATTCTGTGAACAGAACTGTCAGGTATAGATGCGAAAAGTCTGAGGGGATGATAAACTGTTTCACATTTATTTTGAGAAGAGATAACCGGTGTGAGCTCGGTGGTTCTGTCCTTGCCTGCCCTGGTGGGTATACTAAGGGTCTTTCTGTAAACTGAAAATGTGAAAAAGTTGCATTTAAAGAACTAAAGACAGGAGATTAATATAGGAGATAACACATAAATATGGCTGAATCTTTACTAGAGCCAAGAAAGATTTCAAAACAGAGCCACATTCCTTTAGGCTACAACTGTTATACCTGTGCTGTTGCTAGTCATAGAATTGTTGCTAGAACACCTAACACGGGTTTATGGTCCTCACAAGAGTGCAGTAATAATTCATTATGAACTTCTTTAAAAATAGCTCTAGTGATGTAACTCATTAGGTTCAGCATCAAAACGTCACGGTCAAAATACTGGTGTTCGCTAATCTTTGTAGGAAGTATCTCTCCAGGATGTTCGGAAGGAGATCAACTTCTGCCGTAAAGTGAAACTGCCGATCATAGGTGTTGTGGAAAATATGAGTGGCTTTATATGTCCGAAGTGTAAGGTAAGGCTGGCTGTGTATCACAGCACTTTTCATCTTGACATGATATGTAAACATTGCTCCAAAGATGCCTTGTTGTCAGAATTGCAGTATTTTAATTCTGATTTCCATGCCATCCCAGAATGAATCTCAGATCTTTCCCCCGACTACTGGAGGTGCAGAGAAGATGTGCCAGGATTTAAATGTTACCCTCCTGGGCAAAGTGCCTCTAGATCCTCGAATAGGTAAAGTTATTGATGTGGTTACTGGAAAACCCTGACTTGGACACTGATAAATTAGAATACTGAGCATTTTGTCTCTTAGGTAGATATCCGGGTTTCGATAGAACTTGTTTTTTCAGTCAGAAGTTACTGGCCCTGTGACATAGAACAGTGTCAAAAGAGAAAGGTGCTGGGATAATTTCCTTTCCCTGAAACTTAATCTTGATTCAGGTCAGACAATGCATCTTTTCAGCTGTGTAATCCTACTTGGGGTACAACATGTCTTTCTCCCTGGTGTAATCGCCTGGGAGCTTAGACTGACTAAAATTTTAACCGCTAGGAAGAATAGTTTCTTGTAGACATTAAGCATTAAGACTAGTGCTCCCCTGGCACCACCCAAATTCTGCCGTGGGCAGGGAGAAGGTTTGGTTCCTTGCCCGCTGCCTCTTGCCAGTGAATACTTGATATAATGACGTCAAGGAATGGGTCAGCACTTCTGAAATAAGGACTGGAAGTTTCTGCTAACAGTATTCCTTTCTAAAGCTGTAGGCTCGAGTTCTAATGATAGTACTGACACAAGGACTTCTGAAAAGGAAAAAATCAAGTGGCTCTTTGGAAGGGTGTAACTGGTAGCGGGGTAAAGGGTAAAACTGAGACAAGTTCATCTTTTCCTGTCGCTTTGCTTTCTTGGTCTGCCCTGTCCTTCCAGGGAAAAGTTGTGACCAAGGTCAGTCTGTCTTCTCTGAAGCACCTGAGTCTCCAGCTACACTGTCTTACAGGAGCATCATCCACAGTAAGTCTGCAGAGCACTGTGCAAACAAATCCTCTCAGTGCTGAGCGCTTCTGCAATATGTAAAAGTGCTCAACAGAATTCTGATAATTCTGCCACAAATAATAAAAACGGTAGATGTGCAGAGTAATTATGAAAGTAACAGATGCAAATACTATGTTCGCTTCTTCTGGAAATCAGTTATGACAGGCTTTTAAAGCGATAAAATTGGATTTAATAACTAGTTTCGATGTTTGGCTTACCAGTGTTCTAAAAGGTCTGTGTGCTTGCTCTCACACAAGATGTGTAAGGTTCTGGGGCAGGCCTGTCGAGCGGCGCCCGCTGTGGCGGAGGACGATATCGCTGGCTACTCACTGCCTCCGCTTCTAACTGTCAGTGCACAAGGAGCCCTGCAAAAGCTGCCCGAAGAGCCAGTGAGGGGCGGTTTAGAAATACAAACAGGGAAATTGCTAAAGCCATTTTCACTGATAGAGGTCCACTTGTGATGTGTGTACCAAGAGGGGACAGAGTGATAGCAGCAATAACTAACTCCCGATGTGCAACCGCGAGATTGCTTATATTCCTTTTTCCCTGTCTTTGCAGGAATTCAGGAATACTGTGATCAACACCATTTACAAGAAGAAAAGACTGTCTAATCTGGGAATGGAATAAAAACATAGTCCGTGTTTAATTGCAGGAAAGTAACTTATGCCTTGATTTAATAGATGGAATGTATTCTTTTTGTATTTTGCAAATAAATTCTTAACATAAATGTTCTTGCCTTATTTTTTTTTTTGGTGTATTTTTTGTACTTCAAGATTCCGACAGTTGGCAGGGGTTCTAAAAACTCGCTGGAGAGCTGTCAAACAGATTCTCCATCGGTGCTGCACAGGGGCGCAGTTTGCACCCGGTGTCATGGTACCAGTAAGCTGAGTGTGAAGTTGGTGTCTGAAGACACACGTATGCAAGATTTTATTTAGGAAGTGAATATAAAATACGCTTTGCTGACGCTGGGGCCAATCCTGTGCCTGATGTATCTGCTACGCACGTGTAGTGGGCTTGGACCTGCCTTCTGTGCTAGGATTGTAGTATTGTCTCCTATTTTTGTAATTGGTTGTAAAATAAAAACCTACCCGAGTTTAGGCAAGTTAATTGTAGTACACGTGCGGTGTTTTATTTTCACAGATATCTGTCTTTTAACTGTTTACACGTCACTGGCTGCTTCACACAAGTACTGTGGGAATGCGCTGCATGACTTCCAGTCTCTGCCAAAACACAAACACTTGGTGTCTTTAGACTCTTTTTATTTGGTGTCTGTGAGGCCCTTTGTGATTTTAATTCCTCTTTTCTATTGAGGAATCAAAGCTTTTGGAAACCAGCATGGTGTACAAAGGGAAAGGCTGTTTATGTATTACAGTTTCCAAATTAAATAGGTGAGCATCGTCTTTTGATTATATTCTAACTATATTCTAATTATATTCTAATTCATGGTTAAGAGAATCCAACAGTTTCAGGTTAGTCGACAGATTTAATTTTTTTTTCCCTGAAGTGTGCTCTATATAAACTGGAAACACTTTTTCTGTGCTTATACAAACTGCTTCTTGGTGCAACTTTTAAGTAAATAACAAAGGCTCTAAACCTTCTGGAGTCTGAAGGCTCAAACACAAATGACAATGTCTTTATTATTTCATGCAGGCGGAATTCTAGAAGAGCTTTACTTAAATATCTTCATATGAAGAAGGGCGTTCATAAAGTGAGTATTTTTCCTCCTCATCCCTTCAGTTGTTCTTTAGCTGATAACCTAGTGCCCATCTTCCTCTGTTCTTCAACGCGCTCTTCTGAAATTCTCCTTGTCTGTCCTGCGGAAGGAACACAGGCAGCGTGGGTGTTCGCATAACCATAGGAATATTCGGGGAAAAAAGGAGCTGCAGCTGGCTCTCCCAGCCGTGCCTGAGCAAAGGGGTTACAGCACCCCAGAAGACATCCCTCTGAGTTAGCAGAGAGGATGTTCTTCACAGGGCTTGGAAGCAGCTCAGCCGTGAAGCTGCAGGAGGCTTCCGAACCCAGCGCAGTGACCTGTGTGGCCCCTGTGAGCAAGCTCCGCGAGAGAGGCCAATGGGAGAATCGGGATAGCCCTGCCTGGAGTTATTCTAGGAATGAAGAGCTGGGAAGAGCCAAAAGG